TTTATGTTGAAGAATGATGTCTCCTCTTTGGTAGTTGCAAGAACGAGAGGAGATTGCTTTGTTTTGTTTTGTTTTGTTTTTGAGACAGAGTCTCACTCTATTGCCCAGGCTGGAGAGCAGTGGTGCAATCTCAGCTCACTGCAACCTCTGCCTTCCAGGTTCAAGCAATTCTCCTGCCTCAGCCTCCCTAGTAGCAGGGATTACAGGTGCATGTCACCACCCCTGGCTAATTTTTGTGTTTTTAGTAGAGATGGGGGTTTCACCATGTTGGCCAGGCTGGTCTCAAACTTCTGACCTCAGGTGATCCACCCATCTCAGCCTCCTAAAGGCCTGGTATTACAGGCGTGAGTCACCACACCAAGCCAAGAGATTTATTGATTATTTTTCTGGGAGTCTGTTTTACTAATGTTGTTGATTTAAAATAATTGCATCTTCAAGGCTCAGCTCTAAAATACTTAAAATATCATTATTAAAAAATGGGCATGAGATTCAAACTTTACTTGAAATAAGTGAAATAATATAAAATGATTTTATTTAATAGCAATGGAATTAAGGACATAATGTCCTCTATTTTAATAATACTGTCTAACTTTTATTAAGTAATTACGTATTATTAAGTGGGATATGTGTATTATCTCAATCTTCATGACCACCCCATGAGATTGGTGCTGTTCTTATCCCTAATTTACCAACAAACTAACTGAAAAGTATGTAGCTGTCAGACTAAGATTCACATTCTGAAAATCTGACAACAGAGTCTGTGTTTTTAATGACAATATTATAACTCTTCCCATAATGGCACATGCTCCTTTAATTTGCCGGTATCAGTCGGTAACGCATCATTGATGTCTTCCTCCAAAAATAAATAGGGACCAATATAATTAGTAAGGCCTTGGTGTGCCATCATAACAGACCATAGTTTATTTAACCTGTTGCCTACTGTAGCTATTAGTATTTTTAATATTTGATTATTTTAAGTTGTTTCATGATAAATATCTTATGTGTATGTCTTAATATGCTTTAATAGCCACTTCCAAGAAAAAATACCTAAAAATGGAATTTTAATCAAATATCAGACATAAGGACTCATAGTATACTGAATCTTGTGTTAGTAATTAGAGGAGTACAAGAACTGAAAACACATAGGTGCCACCCTACAGCAGAGAGTATAAAATCAGAATAGACTGAATAAGTATAAGGTAGGAGATAAAAAACAGTAAAGAAGTTCAGGTCACAGGCCTTGGGAGTTCATAGGAAGGAGACGTCCAGTACTGTCCAGTAGAACTTTCCATGTTGATGAATATGTTCTGTGTTCTCCAGTATGGTAGCTGTTTGCCACATGTGGCTAATGAGCACCTGAAATATGGCTAAGTTGACTGAGAAACTGAACTTTTGTGTGTGTGTGTGTGTGTGTGTGTGTGTGACAGAGTCTTGCTTTATCACCAAGGCTGGAGTGCAGTGGTGAGATCTCGGCTCACTGCAGCCTCTGCCTCCCAGGTTCAAGCGATTCTGCCTCAGCTTCCTGAGTAGCTGGGACCACAGGCCCCTGCCACCATGCCCAGCAAATTTTTGCATTTTTAGCAGCCTGTCGCCCAGGCTGGAGTGCAGTGGTGCGATCTCAGCTCACTGCAACCCCTGCCTCCCAGGTTCAAGCAATTCTCCTGCCTTAGCCTCCTAAGTAGCTGGGATTACAGGCATGTACCATCATGCCTGGCTAATTTTTTTTTGTATTTTTAGTAGAGACAGGGATTCACCATGTTATCCAGGCTGGTTTCAAACTCCTGATCTCAAGTGATCGGCCCGCCTCGGCCTCCCAAAGGGCTAGGATTACAGGTGTGAGCCACCGCTCCTGGCCTAACCTGCATACATCTTAATACACATTTACAGTCATTTGGTTTGCGTAGAGCCCCAGAAGTAGGCTCTACTTCTGGGTTGGATGGTAAAAGTCCCTCACATCCTTCTACATGCCATGTTTTAAGGTCCTACAAATCTGTAGCATTTACACAGTATCCATTTCCCTGTGATGTTGCTCATCTGGCATATCATTAGTCTTTTAAATCTGCCATTCTAATAACTGTCAACTGGTACTTCCTTGACTAGGGTCTCCTTAATTGTATTGAAATTTGATAACTTCTGTGGATGATACGTTGCTATTTTTAGTGAATTACCCATGCTTAAGTTTCATTTGAAAAAATTCTGAGCTTCAGAGGAAAACCTAGAGTTGAGAGAGCAAGACCCTATCTCCAGAAAAAAAAAAAAAAAAGAGATGGCCAATGAGTATGTGAAAAAAGAAAAAAAAATCAAACTCACTAAAAGAAAAAAAAAAAAAAGAGAGAGCGAGAGAGAGAATTGGCTTTATATTTAGAGAAACATGGATTCAAACTACAGCTCTGCCTCTTTCTGTGAATTTGGGCAAGGTACTTTACTCTGAGCCTTCATTACCTCATCTGTTGAAAGGAGATAAATGCATTGCATGGTTAAATGTTAATATGATAAAGGGCCCATCATGCAAAAGATCCTAAAAATAGCTATTTTTGTTGTCACCTGGAAGCCGTGGGCATGAATTCACACCACTCCAGCCTTGATATTGAGATATTGGCGTGGTCAGTGACTTCATGCAGGAAAGCAGTATAGCTGTTCCTGGTTGGGGAATCAGTTAGGAAATTGGTTGGAAACAGAATTCTGGGGGCTGTGGTTCTAGCTGGGAAGGGCTCCACAGGGCAAGTGCAGTTTTGCAGTGAGAAGGGCTGCCCACTGTTTTCTGCCTTCCTGTCTGTGGAGTCCAGGCATATGGCCAAGCCATGAATGATATTTGGATTTGTATGGGTGGCCCCTTCTCAGCCCTAAGGTGGGCATGGATGGAAGAGGATCTGCTCAAGACAGGATCTAAAAATTCAGTTTCAGCTACTCATCAGCAGCATCAGAAGTTGAAGTAAGCCAGAGACCCTTCTGCTGGAGCTCCTGATCTGGCTTTGCGCGTGAGGCCTCTACCCTGTATCTACACATGCACAAGTGGTTTCTCATAGTATAGGGAGGGTTTGGCTTTCTTCCCCTGCTTATATGTGCAGAATGGTGGGGTTGGAAGTAGAAATTATGCAAAAACAGGATCTTATTAACTTAAGTCATTTTAGGACTTCAGAGACACATCTGGCCTCAGAGTCACTTGTTCTTCCCCTAGCCCCGGCTTCTCTGGATTCTGTGCATCTCCATGGAGGAAGCCCAAGGAGAACTGACAAGTTCTTGTGGTGCCAAAACCATGGCCCATGTAAGTTTGTGTTTTTCTTCCTTGAAATGTTGTGCTTTTAAATTTATTGATCACTGAAATCTCATTATCTTGAGACTTCCTTCCTAAGACAATCCGGTTGTGGAATCTGCTCCCTAGTTACTCTGATCGCAGTGAAGGATAGTGCCACGTAGTCTAGTGTCTTCCTCATTTGCTCCTATTTTCTCTTAGCAATGCTCACCTATTGCCCATTCATCTATGTGCCCAGTCTTCTCTCAGGAACATTGGTGGAGCACTGAAAGATGAAGTCCCTCAAGGGAAATATTTGAGTTTCTGTCGAGTCATGGTTCTTTTTTTTTTTTTTTTTTTGAGACAGAGCCTCACTCTGTTACCCAGGCTGGAGTGTAGTGGTGCCATCTCAGCTCAGTGCAACCTCTGCCTCCCAGGTTCAAGTGATTCTCCTGCCTCAGTCTCCTGAGTAGCTGGGATTACAGGTGCCCACCACCACGCCTGGCTAATTTTTGTATTTTTAGTAGAGATAAGGTTTCACTATGTTGGCCAGGCTGGTCTCAAACTCCTGACCTAAGGTGATCTACCCTCCTCAGCCTCCCGAAGTGCTGGGATTACAGGTGTGAGTCACCATGCCAGCCAGGAGTCATGGTTCTATGGCACACAGGTAGTAGCCCCATTAGACTGCCCAGACCTGAATTTTGTGGGTTGATGGATGGGATTTAGTGTTCAGTGTTTTGTCTTCTGCAGTGACTCAAAGATTGTCTTCCATGTCAGAGGCAGAGGTGAGGTCTCAGGCATTAAGAGGCTTAGAGGACTAAGTTGGAGTGTAATTGGGGCCTGCATATTGCATTTTCAGGGATCTAGCCAGGGGAATCTCCAAGGATGAATAAGAAAACAAAAGTCAATTTTGTGGTTGAGGAGGTTGCACTGGTCTCCAGTGACATCAATGTCATTGTGGATCCGTCAGCATCCTCTGGCTTAGGAACAAAGTAAGTGTTCATGTAGTATGGCCGGAGTGGCAGGTAGGAATATCCTCCAATCCCTATTGATGGCTGGACATAGGCTCTGATCCCCAATGATGGTGGAAATAGGATTGGGAAAAACCTTAAACACTTTGGCCACCTTAAATAAATGCCTAAGAATAAAAGAAGAATTAGTCTGAAGAATCCACAAGATGGATGATATTATTAGCCAGCCAATAAATATACTAACTGAAGACTTTGCTTTGAGGTTATTTTGCACCATGATGAACCTGAGTTCCAGTGAAATTACATAATGTCAGTCAACTCCTGTTTTCTAAGAGAGATTTTAGAGTACTTTTTGGTAAAAGAATTCTTTTTTGAAAAATTTTTTGCAGGGAAGAGAGGATGATGGAACTTGCATTTATTCAGAACTTAAAATGCAGCCACATAATGGGCAGTGTGCTTATTTATGCTGTTTCACTTAATTTGCATCAACAGTAGTCTTTAAAAGCATATAAACACTTTATTTCAGAAATATGAATTTCCTTATTCTTTTATCCATGTTGCAGGCTTGAGCCCCAGTGTATTTGCTTACTATGCTGCTTCTTTCCTGCAAAGCAGTTTTCCATCTTGAAAATACATTTAATAAATTTTTAATATGTCATTTCAGGTATCCTTGGCATTCAGGGATGTGTCCATAGACCTCTCCCAAGAGGAGTGGGAGTGCCTGGACCCTGCACAGAGGGACTTGTACAAGGATGTGATGTTCGAGAACTACAGCAACCTGGTCTCATTGGGTAAGGTATCTGCTGAAATAGTTTACAACCTGTTTTCTGGAGTATCTACCTTCTCCACTGTCAAATTTTAGAACTCTGTTTTAAGAGGCCAACTGACTCCCCCTATTTCTAAAGACATAGTTTGAGCAGTGTTGGGGTGGAAATGGGTACCTGTGTTAAGCAACTTCATCTTTCCATCCCTCAGTGGCATTCACTCCTCCCTCTGACTCTTCCTGTTATTGCTTGCTTTTCTAAATGATTTCCAGGTTTGATTTGTGTGACATTTTTAGAGAGACCAGATTTCATATAATGCGTAAACTCATAATTCCTATAGTTGCTCTGTGTTAATATCTGGCTCTCCTACAAGACAATAGCTAGTCTCAGAATTCTCTTTTTTTTGTTTGTTTGTTTGTTTTTTTTTTAGCTATCAAAAGAAGCTCCATGGATTATACAATGGTGGATTGAGTTAACAATAGTTATGTAAAATTCAAGCCAACACACCCCATCCTAGAGGAGACATACTCCCCTTAACCTGCTGTGTGGTTGAAAGTTAAAGGCTGTGAATTTGCATTTTCTGTTCAAGAAATATCTGAGGAAGAACCTGGAAATGTTTTAGGAAACTTAGTATATTTCTCCTAGGAAAATAGTAACAACAAAATAATACTATATACTAGGCATGTTTTTATGCCTTTGCATATATTAATTCATTTAATTCTCACAACAGCCTATGAAGTCGGTAATATCAGCCCCATTTTGCATTTGATCAAAGTGAACACACGGAGGCTAAGTAACTTTCAAAGTCACACAGCTGGTAGGTGGCAGAAGATTTGAACCCAGGCCATAGGGTTCCAGAGGCTATACTCACAACCCCTCTGTATACTAGCTTTAGCAGCAAAGCAGACCTTTTCCCTCTCTTTCCTTGTCTCTTTAGTCCTGTAATTGTGAGTCCATGTTAACATGAATGTTCTTAGCCTTTTTCTTCTTGGCTGTGATATCAAGTACCATTTTCACCTGCAGTTTACTACAAATGTAACCAAGTATGAATTGTCAATTCAAGGTTGTGGTTGTTTGGGGTTTATTTTTATTTTTTTCTACAACATGTGTCATTTCTTTTCTCATGAGCAGGATATACCATTCCTAAGCCAGATGTGATTGCTTTATTGGAGCAAGAGAAAGAGCCCTGGATAGTAATGAAGGAAGGAACAAGGAGTTGGTACACAGGTGAGTGACAGCAAATCAGGCAGGAGGGTGCTATCACAAGTTATGACCCATGAGGTCAGGGAGGAGGCACAGCACTGAGCTGTTTGGACATCACCCTTCAAAGGCCCAAGGGCTGTGGAGAAAGGACTTATACCTGGGAAGCATTCAGATTCTCTCAACGTGAGCTACCAAAGGAACTTTAGACAGTTTGCTAAACTTCTTATTTCTCTTCTCTCATGTTTCTCTCCCTTTTCAAAGTGGGGCTGCTTTCTTTCTTCCTCATTGATGATCATTTTACCTGTGTTTCAGGTCTCCTTTTACATTTAGATTTATATTCATTTCTCCATTGTCCAAATTTTATTCAACAAATATTTCCCATTTACCTAACCTAAGCCACGCACTGTGCTAGAGCCTAGGCACTATTGATAGACACTCCTATTGTCATGGAGATATTGATATTCTAGTAAGGGAAACATATTGTAAATAAGTAAACAGATAATAATCAGGTTTTGATATGTGTTGTGAAGAAAGTGAAGTAGGGTAAGGAGATAAGTGTTAGGGAGTTAGTAGGGCTAATTTAGAGAAGATCAGGAAAGACCATTTTAAGGTGATGATCTTTGAACTAGAGGCATAAAATAAGGTCTTGGGCCATGTGAATATTAAGGAAGAGCATTACAAGCAGAAAAAGCTGCAAATGCAAAGGCTCTAAGATAAAGCACCATCTGTGTTTATTCCCAAAACAGATATGCCAGCTGATGTGAACATTCTTGTACAGTTTTGTGTTCAGATGTTTTCATTTCTCTTAGTTTTCATTTTTCTTGGGAATATATGGAAGTGGAATTTTTGGGTTATAGGACAAGTGTATTAATCGTATATATTGAGGTAGAATTTATATAATACAAAATGCACTCATTTTAAGTGTCCATTTTTATAACATTTTAAAACAGTTTCATTGACATATAATTGGCATACAATAAATTGCACACATTTAAAGTATAAAATTTGCTAAGTCGCCATGTATATTGTGAAACCATTACACAGTCAAAATAATAAACATATCCATCACCTCAGAAAGAAATCCCTCCCTCATGTCCTTCTCTACCCACTGCCCAGGTAAGCACTGATCATCTGTCTGTCACTATAACTTAGTTTTCATTTTCTAGAATTTTGTATAATGGAATTATGTGGTGATTTTTTTTCTTTCTTTTTTAAAAATATGGTGATTTTTTTTCAATTTAGCTTCATTCACTCAGCAAAATTATTTTGAGATTCATCCATGTTGCTTCATGTATTAGTACCTCATTTCATTGTTGAGTAGTATTCCACTGTATGAATGTACCACAATTTACTTATCCATTTACCTATAGGGATGGACATTGAGTTATTTCCAGTGTTTGGCTATTAGAGATAAAACTACTGGAAACATTCATGTAAAATTCTTTGTACAGACATATGCTTTCATTTATCTTGAGTAAATATCTGGGGTAGAATGGGTAGATCATATGAAAGATATATGTTTATTTTTTTAAGACACTGCCACACTGTTTTTGAAAGTGGTTATATCAGCCGGGAGCGGTGGCTCATGCCCGTAATCCCAGCACATTGGGAGGCCGAGGCAGGTAGATCACTTGAGGTCAGGAGTTCAAGACCAGCGTGGCCAACATGGTGAAACTTCGTCTTTACTAAAAATACAAAAATTAGCCAGACATAGTGGCAGGTATCTGTCATCCCAGCTACTTGGGAGGCTGAGGCAGGAGAATCACTTGAACCCTGGATGCAGAAGTTGCAGTGAGCCAAGATTGTGCCACTGCATTCCAGCAGCCTGGGTGACAGAGCAAGACTCTGTCTGAAAAAAAAAAAAAGAAAGAAAGAAAGTGGTTGTATCCTTTTACTTTCACAGCAGAAGTTTATGAAATTCCAGTTCTTACACATTCTTGTCATCACAGTAGGTGAGTGGTGGTATCACATTGTGGTTTTAATTTTCATTTTCCTAATGCCTAATAATCCTGAGCAACTTTTTATTCTTATCATCCATATATCTTCTTTGCTGAAGTATCTGTTAGTCTTCTGCCTGTTTTCTTTTTTTTTTTTTTTTTTTTTTTGAGACGGAGTCTTGCTCTGTTGCCCAGGCTGGAGTGCAGTGGTGTAACCTTGGCTCACTGTAACCTCAGCCTCCTGAGTACAAGTGATTCTCTCGCCTTAGCCTCCTGAGTAGCTGGGACCACAGGCATGTGCCACCATGCCTGGCTAATTTTTGTATTTTTGACAGAGACGGGGTTTTACCACATTGGCCAGGCTAGTCTCAAACTCCTGACCTCAGATCCACCAGCCTCAGTCACCCAAAGTGTTGGGATTACAGGCATGAGCCACTGCACCCAGCCTTCTACCCGTTTTCTAATTTAGTTGTTTGTTAGCTAATTATTAGGTTTTGATAGTCCCTTATGTATTCTGGATGTAAGTCCTTTATCAAATGTATGATTTGTAAATATCTTCTCCCATTATTGGCTTGTATTTTCATTCTCTTAACAGTGTCTTCTGAATAGCATAAGCTCTTAATTTGATTAAGTTCAATGTATCACGTTTTTCTCTTACGGACTATCCTTTCGGATCATATTTAAGAAACCTTTGCCAAATACAAAAAGTACAAAAGTTTTGTTTTCTTCTAGAAATTTTTTTTTTGAGATGGAGTCTCGCTGTGTCACCCAGGCTAGAGAGCAGTGGCGTGATCTCGGCTCACTGCAACCTCCGCCTGCTGGGTTCAAGTGATTCTTCTGCCTCAGCCTCCCGAGTAGCTGGAACTACAGGTGTGTACCACCGTACCCAGCTAATTTTTGTATTTTTAGTAGAGGGGTTTCACCATATTGGCCAGGCTGGTCTCAAACTCCTGACCTCGTGATCCACCCACCTTGGCTTCCCATAGTGCTGGGATTACAGGCATGAGCCACTACGCCCAGCCTTTCTAGAAATTTTAGTTTTAGATTTTTACATTTGTATATCTTCTGTACACAAACTCTTCCAGAAACTTTAAGATGATCTTCAAGTCCAACATTACCCTGACACAGAAACCAGACAAAGGCATTATAAGAAAAGGAATCTGTAAGTCAATTATTTTTTACAAACACAAATGAAAAAATTCTAGACAAAGTTTTAGCCATTTGAATCTAACAGTTTATGAAAAGAATAGCAGCTGCTGGCCAATCTTGGCATTCCTTGGCTTGCAGATGCATCACTTTAGTCTCTGCCTCCATCTTCATGGCACCCTCTCTTAATCTCCCTATGCCTCGCTCTTAAAAGTACACCTGTTAGTGGATTTAGGGCCCACCTTTTTCCAAATTAGGTCCCATTCACAGGCACTGGGAGTTAGGAATATGTCTTTTCTAGGGGCCTACTACATCTGAGAATAAAGGCTTTTATTTTTCTTCTTTCTGAAGCTTGTGTTTTTCTTCTTGCCTTACTCTACTAGCCAGGACCTGCAGTGTACTTATTGACTAGCAGTAAGTTTGAGCATCTGTGAATAAGCAATGATAAAACACAACTGATGTTCACCAAATAAAATATCTCAGTATTTGAGTTGGGATAGAGACAAAGAAAAGGAACAGTGGCCACACACATGGCAACTTTAAACAGTTTTAGAGATACCTAATGTTCAAGGTAACAATAGATAATGAGAAAATGATGAAATACAAAAATTAATTTTTTCATTTATACTTTTGACTGAGCAATCTTGGATATACCTTTCTTCCCTTTCATAAGGGAAGTGATCTAGGAAAGAGCATATTTAATTGCTGTACTAAGATGAGATTGGAATCAGGGAGATATATTCATAACTGTGTTTTATTTTGGGGAAATTAAGTTATTATACCTAGCTGCCTTCTCAATGACTTGTTTGTAATATTTACAGAGGTGATTTGCAGAGGTCTTACAAATAAGAAAGGGCATTTTATCAATGGTAATATGTTTGGATTTTATTCTAGGGGGAATGAGAAACTTTAAAGGGAAAACAATTGGGTACAGATTTTCAAAACGATCTGCATCAAAGTCATTTGATGAGAAAGATTTAAAATGCACATATCCAGGACTTGCTCCTATGGATTTTGATTTTGTCTGGTTTGGAGTCTGAAGAACAGTATATGTAAGAAACTCCCCTAAATTCATCCTAAATAGGAGGACCACTGATTTACCCTAGTCTCCTATTCACCTATTTTACTCTTCTTAAAAGTCACATCGTTTCCTGAGGTATTTTGCCTTTTAAATTTCATTACAATAATTAGAGTTCTCTAAGCCAGGAGCCAGCAAACTATAGCCCATGGGCCACATAGCTCACTGCCTATTTTTGCATGGCTTTTAGGTTACAACTGGCTTTTACATTTTTTAATGGTTGAAAACATCAAGAAGATTTTGTGTCAGGTAAACATTTTTTGAAATTCAAATTTTAGTGTTCATAAGTCAAGTGTTGTTATAACACAGCCACACTTATTATCATCTGTGGCTGCCTTTGTGCTGTAATAGCAAAGCTAAGTAATTGTGACAGAGACCATATGCCTCCCAAGGCCTAACACCTTCACTATCTGGTCTTTTACAGAAAAAGTTTGTTGACTCCTGCTCTACACCATTTATTTCTAATGTGTGTTATTTCTGTTTATCTTTTATTTCTACTATAAGGCACAACCCCCATCCCTACCCTAACACAGAAAAATAGCATTATAGCATTTGTTTGCCTTTTTTTTTTTTTTTTTTTTTTGTTTTTTTTTTTTTTTTTGTGCAGATTTGGAGTACAAGTATATCACCAAGAATTTACTTCCAGAAAAGAATGTTTGCAAAATATATTTATCTCAATTGCAGACAGGGGAAAAAAGTAAAAACACCATCCATGAGGATACCATGAGAAATGGCTTGCAGAACAAACATGAATTTGAGAGACAAGAGGGACATCAGATAGAATGCGTTAGTCAAATGATAATCCAAAAACAAATATCTCATCCTCTGTATCTGAAAATTCATGCTAGAGAGAAACCATATGAATGTAAGGAATGTAGGAAGGCCTTTAGACAACAGTCATACCTTATTCAACATCTGAGAATTCACACTGGTGAGAGACCCTATAAATGTATGGAATGTGGAAAGGCATTTTGTCGAGTGGGAGACCTTAGAGTACATCAGACAATCCATGCTGGGGAGAGACCCTATGAATGTAAAGAATGTGGAAAGGCCTTTAGACTTCATTACCACCTTACTGAACATCAGAGAATACATTCTGGTTTGAAACCCTATGAGTGTAAGGAATGTGGAAAGGCCTTTAGTCGGGTTAGAGATCTCAGAGTACATCAGACAATTCATGCCGGGGAGAGACCTTATGAATGTAAAGAATGTGGGAAGGCCTTTAGACTTCATTATCAGCTAACTGAACATCAAAGAATTCACACTGGTGAGAGGCCTTATGAATGTAAGGTTTGTGGCAAGACCTTTAGGGTACAACGACATATTAGTCAACATCAGAAAATTCATACAGGTGTCAAACCCTATAAATGTAATGAATGTGGGAAAGCCTTTAGTCATGGCTCATACCTTGTTCAACATCAGAAAATTCATACTGGTAATAAACCCTATGAATGTAAAGAATGTGGTAAGTCCTTTAGTTTTCATGCAGAACTTGCTCGACATCATAGAATTCATACTGGTGAGAAACCCTATGAATGTAAAGAATGTGGAAAAGCCTTTCGTCTTCAAACAGAACTTACTCGGCATCATAGAACTCATACTGGTGAAAAACCCTATGAATGTAAGGAATGTGGGAAGGCCTTTATTTGTGGCTATCAACTTACTTTACATCTGAGAACTCACACAGGTGAGATTCCTTATGAATGTAAGGAATGTAGGAAAACCTTCAGTAGTCGCTATCATCTTACTCAACACTACAGAATTCATACTGGTGAGAAACCCTACATATGTAATGAATGTGGAAAAGCCTTTCGTCTTCAGGCGGAACTTACCCGACATCACAGAATTCATACATGTGAGAAACCCTATAAATGTAAGGAATGTGGGAAGGCTTTTATTCGTAGCAATCAATTTATTTCACACCAGCAAATTCACACCAGCGAGAGCACCTATGCATGTACAGAATGTGGGAAGACTTTTGGTCGTCGCTATAATCTTACTCAACATTATAAAATTCATACTGGTGAGAAACCCTATATATGTAATGAATGTGGGAAAGCCTTTCGATTTCAAACAGAACTTACTCAGCATCACAGAATTCATACTGGTGAAAAACCCTATAAATGTATGGAATGTGGGAAGGCCTTTATTCGTAGCACTCATCTCACGCAACATCACAGAATTCATACTGGCGAGAAACCCTACAAATGTAAGGAATGTGGGAAGATGTTTAGTCGTCACTATCATCTTACTCAACATCACAGAGGCCATACTGGTGAGAAGCCCTACATATGTAATGAATGTGGGAATGCTTTTATTTGCAGTTATCGACTTGTATTACATCAAAGAATTCACACTGGTGAGATACCATATGAATGTAAGGAATGTGGAAAGACCTTTAGTCGCCGGTATCATCTTACTCAACATTTTAGACTTCATACTGGTGAGAAACCATACAGCTGTAAAGAATGTGGGAATGCCTTTCGTCTTCAAGCAGAACTTACTCGGCATCACATAGTTCACACGGGTGAGAAACCCTATAAATGTAAAGAATGTGGGAAGGCCTTCAGTGTTAATTCTGAACTTACTCGACATCACAGAATTCATACTGGTGAAAAACCCTATAAATGTAAAGAGTGTGGAAAAGCTTTTATTCGTAGTGATCAACTTACTTTACATCAGAGAAATCATATTAGTGAGGAAGCCCTATGTGTAATGTAAAGACAATATGATGGCCTTTAGAAAATGCCCCTTACAACAGCAGAGAATTTATAAGAAATTTTCTGTTTGCTAGGGAACATGTGGGAATCCGTTTTATTTCATGCTCACAATTTATCAGAAATGGTTTAATATGTTGATTTAAAGATTTGAAAAGCTATAGCATCACTCAGTCCCTGTTGGACTTTAGAAGATTGTTACTGATGCACTGCATCCCAAACCATCAAGAACTTTTTCCCCTGCAAACTGTTCTTGAACAGTGCTTCTCTAAAATGCAATAATAATGGGCCAGGTGAAGTGGCTCACACCTGTAATCCCAGCACTTTGGAAGGACAGGAGTTTGAAACCAGCCTGGGCAACATAGTGAGACCCTGCCTCTACCAAAAAAATTTTTTTTAATTAGCCAGGTGTAGTGGCACACACCTGTAGTCCTTGCTACTCAGGAGGCTGAGACGGGAGGATCAGTTGAGCCAAGGAGTTTGAGGCTTTGGTGAGCCATGATTGTGCCACTGCACTCCAGCTTGGTGACAGAGTGAGATCCTGTCTCTAAATAAATAAATGTGGGCCGGGCACAGTGGCTCATATCTGTAATCCCAGCACTTTGGGAGGCCCAGGTGGGCAGATGAGGTCAGGAGTTAAAAGACCAGCCTGGACAACATGGTGAAACCCAGTCTCTACTAAAATAAACAAATTAGCTGGGCGTGGTGGCAGGTGCCTATAATTGCAGCTATTCGAGAGGCTGAGGCAGGAGAATTGCTTGAACCTAGGTGGCAGAGGGTGCAGTGAGCCAAATAAATAAATAAATAAATTGCAATAATATTAGATTGCCAGAAAAATGAAAAGAACAGACATACAAAATAAAAGCTCCAGTTTTTTATTGCGGTATTTAACAGAGTTAACTCTGTCAGATTGCAGTGAATGTTTCCAAATACTTGCTTCAATATGTATAACTTTTGCAGAAACCAGAAGCAAACAATTTGTGGACCAATGCCAACACACTGACCACAATTTATTTATTTATTTATTTATTTTATTTTTTATTATTATTTTTTTTTGAGACGGAGTCTCGCTCTTGTTACCCAGGCTGGAGTGCAATGGCGCAATCTTGGCTCACCGCAACCTCCGTCTCCTGGGTTCAGGCAATTCTCCTGCCTCAGCCTCCTGAGTAGCTGGGATTACAGGCACGCGCCACCATGCCCAGCTAATTTTTTGTATTTTTAGTAGAGACGGGGTTTCACCATGTTGACCAGGATGGTCTCGATCTCTTGACCTCGTGATCCACCCACCTCGGCCTCCCAAAGTGCTGGGATTACAGGCTTGAGCCACCGCGCCCGGCCGACCACAATTTATATAGCATTGTAAAAGAAAATTATTCTGTTAATTTGATGAACATGGGAGAGACCAGCCTTGGCATATCTTTATGATGTATATAAATAATATAATTCTCGTAATTCCACCTCTGCCTATATGGTGTTTGGCAAAACATATCCTTGTGCCTTGGTTTTTATTTTATTATTATTTTTTTGAGACGGAGTTTCACTCTTGTTACCCAGGCTGGAATGCAGTGGCTCAATCTCGGCTCACCGCAACCTCTGCCCCCTGGGTTCAGGCAATTCTTCTGCCTCAACCTCCTGAGTAGCTGGTATTACAGGCATGCGCCACCATGCCCAGCTGATTTTTTGTATTTTTAGTAGAGACGGGGTTTCACCATGTTGACCAGGATGGTCTCAATCTCTTGACCTCATGATCCACCCCCCTCGGCCTCCCAAAGTGCTGGGATTACAGGCTTGAGCCACTGCACCCGGCAGGCCTTGGTTTTTAAAATGGTGATAATAGTACCACCTAATAGTATTTTTGTGAAGATGAAATGCTAATAAAAGATAAAAACCTTTAAAAGAGTATTTGGCACACAGCATTTGATCAATAAATATTGATTTATTTTTTTCATTAGTGATACATTTAGTACATTCATGTGAGAGGAAGGCTCTGTGGGTGTAAGGAATTTGTAAAAAAATATCCATTACCTCTCACTACTTATTTAGATTGGGATAATTAACTGGGGATAAGATCCAGTGAAATAGATTAAACTTCCATTTCTAAAATCAGAACTGATCTCTGAAAATTAATGTGAGAGAGAAGTCTCTAGATTTGATGGGTGTGAAGATTATGAGAGTAAAGGTTTTGAAAACTCAGGAATAGCTGTAATGCTTTTTCTTTTTATAACCCAAAAAGCAAGTACGTTAGTCTGCTTTTTCTGCCCACAGCTGATGATAAATTAGAAACTAACAACTACTATCCATTTGGAAGAATTAAAAGAATAATGAACACTGGTATTTTCTATCTAAGCAATTGTTAATATGTTGTCTATTTGGTTTGCTTCTACATAATATTTACATATTTTTGCTATAGTATTTGAGTATAAATTGTAGATACTATAACACATAATATCTAAGAAAAAGGCTGCCTCCAACTTAATTGCTGTATAACAGTTGTCCAAACTCTCTGTGGCCCAGAGCAGCTTTGAATGCAGTCCAACACAAATTTGTAAGCTTCCTGAAAACATGGAGTTTTTTTGCAATTTTTTTAGCTCATCAGCCATTGCTAGTGTATTTTATGTGTGGCCCAAAACAACTCTTTCATTTTAGCCCAGGGAAGCCAAAAGATTTTATGTTTTTCTCCTTAAATTTATTGATGTATTGATTTGTACTTATGACTTTCTTAAATTTTAAACATTTCTTGTGATATACTGTGATTTTTGTCCTACTGCTAGTCCACTTGGTGGTATTTTAATTAGAACACTTTTCCACCTATAGTCATATGAGGCAGTGTGGTTTTTTAAAAATATATTTTATTGCATTTTAGGTTTTGGGGTACATGTGAAAAACATGCAAGATTGTTGCATAGGTTCATACATGGCAGTGTGGTTTGCTGTCTTCCTCCCCATCACCTATTTCTGGCATTTCTCCCCATGTTATCCCTCCCCAACTCCCCACCCCATGCTGTCCCTCCCCTAGATCCCCCCAACAGACCCCAGTGTGTGATGGTCCCTCCCCTAGTTCCCCCCAACAGACCCCAGTGTGTGATGGTCCCCTCCCTGTGTCCATGTGTTCTCATTGTTCAATACCCGCCTGTGAGTGAGAACATGTGGTATTTGATTTTCTGTTCTTGTGTCAGTTTGCTGAGAATTGATGGTTCCCAGGTTCATCCATGTCCCTACAAAGGACACAAACTCATCATTTTTTATGGCTGCATAGTATTCCATGGTGTATATGTGCCACATTTTCCCTGTCCAGTCTATCTTCGATGGGCATTTGGGTTGGTTCCAGGTCTTTGCTATTGTAAACAGTGCCACAATGAACATACATGTGCATGTGTCTTTGTAATAGAATTATTTGTA